CATCTGCGATGCGCCTGGCGATGATCAGCTCCGATGGAGATGATTGCACTGTAACGTGAGATGTGGTGGCTAAGAAGTGGTCGGTTCAGTGGAGGTGGTGCGGCAGAAAGGGGCCGGAAAAGCTGCTCAGCACGACTGAAGAGTGTCGAATTTCCCGGCAGCACGCCAAAAGTATGAGCAAGTTATCTGGAAGTGGGTTGATGAGCGGCGACTCGTCCGTTATGAAGAACGGTTGCACGGAAAAGTGAGATGAACAATCCCCTCATGGCCGCGATGAGGCAGGAGAAATGTGAAGCACAGCCAGTTTTCGACTTCAAAGAAGTAAACGCCCACCTGGACCCGCACACGGCTGATACGGATGATTGCACAGAGAAGATCATAGTCGTGCCGGTGCGGAGGAGGCTTCGCTCTGCTAGATCTTCGTGACGCTTACATACAGACCAGTGTACATTAATCGCTATGGGCCTACCAAAACTGCTGTTTGCCAGGGTCAAGTGTGGTGCTTGACCAGACTCGGTTTGGGCATGAGCGTTGCGCCATTGGCCATGGAGGTGTTGAACATTTTGCTTAGTTCGCACGTAAACGACATCCTGGCGGGGAAGATGTCGTGAATACGGATGAGGTGACGGCTCATCTGCAGCAGCATGGGCTGGTGTGCAAATCCCTTAAGCGCATAGAGGACGGAGCCCAGCTGCCGTCAAGAGATGACGAGGCGCGCCATCTTGTCTACCTGTGGTTGACTGGCTAGTCGCTTCCCGGTTTGTGACTGGCCGCGCGTCACGGCATCCTATTTGAAGAGACGTGCCGGCGTGGTGACGACCAGCTGGGACCATGAGATAACTGATCCTTAGCTGCGCAGCATGGTGGTAGACTCTTCAGCGTGTCAGAGCATCAGATCCCGCTCAGGGGAGGTGGGACGTGGCCAGGGCTGGCCCTGGCGTATGGATTGGTGCAAGCTCTCGCCTTGGGAGCGGTCCTTGAAGCTGAAGGAGAAGGTATTGAGGATGCTTGCTGGCTTCGTAAATCATAAACTCCCATATCAACCTCCCTGAGCTAGATGCTGTGGTTCGAGGCACAAATCTCGCAGTGCCGTCAAAATTAAAGCGTTTTACTTTCGTCTCCGACTCGAGGACGATGCATCACTGGCTCGTCGACCCCTTGTCTGGGAAGGCGCGCTTGAAGACGAAAGCGGCAAGTAAGTGGCCCATCCGGAGACGCTTGAAAGCGATCAAAAGCTTTGTCGTTGAGTACGATCTTGACCTGAAGGTGGAGACTGTCCCGTCGGAAGAAAACAAAGCCGATATCTTTTTTACATCCATTTCAAATAATTTGCATGGTTGACTTTGAGTTCAGAGTGCTTGCTGAGCATAGCTTGTTGCGTGTACCCCAAACCCAACCTCTAGTCGTGCCGTCCAAACGAAGGGATAATTTTGCTACCACCCTTTCGCCAGGCAGGAATGTGGAAGGTTTTACGTCACTCACAATGCTGAGACACGGCCGCCCCGGAGCTGGGTTGTCTGTCATTGTTCAGTTGCCAGTTGACCTTCATTGTTCAGTTGCCAGTTGACCTTCCCATTTGAGCCGGGCCAAACAACGCACCTGCCCTGGGAATTGAACCCAGTGCCACCGGATTAACAGCCCAGCACCTTTCCCCTTGACCACGCAGGCGGGCTCACCAAATACCCGAAGAACTGGGTTTCGCTCGGCTCTTCTAGAAGCGGCTCAGGGACTCAGGAAGTCCACGGCAGCACCGTGACAGCACCGGGCATCGTGTCTGTGCACGAGGCCAGCGGACACCCGGGCATCAGGCGCACGCTCCACCTCTGCAAGCGGTTGGACTCCTTCGCGACGCGGAAACAGGTACAGCATGTGGTGCGCCAGTGCCCGGCCTGCCAATCTATCGATCTGGCCGCACAGCGATCGGAACATGGCTCGCTGAACGTCATGAAAATTGGAACCGAGTGAGCATGGACTTCTCTCATGCTGGTGGTTAACGGGTTGCAACCCCTCCCCTCCATTTGGAGGCGGCTGCTAGTGTTATCGCTCCACTCTATTCGGTGTTTCTGGAGAGGCGTGCACTACGAGAGCTTCTCACGGACATTCAGATGTCGTTCTGCATTGAGTCGATCTTGGAATTCGCCAGTAGATGAGGTGTGGAATATTATGTATATATATATAGATATAGATATAGACATAGATAGAGAGATATAGATATATATATATATATATATATATGTATATATATATATATATGCATGTGTGTGTACTTATTTACGTATATGCTTATACATGTAATACTTATGTAAACATACATATTTGTATATGTATATATATATATATGTATGTATATATATATATATATATATATATATATATATATATATATTGTGTGTGTACTGAGCGACCTATGCCTCGTCAGGGAACGGCATTTCCGAAGGAAACCACTGTTCTGTCAAGACTATTACAGCACACGAGGGTTGTTCAGTGGCGGTGGCCGTGTACAGGTTTAACGTGATGCTGCGCAGCGATGACCCGGCTTCCAGCCGTGCAGATACTCTTCAGTTATACGTCGCGAGTGTACAATGTTGACCCTGATGCGACTGAACTGATCGTCTGAACAGTAGGGTCGGTACAGCGGGGGTAATCAGGTATCGCTACGCGATCCTAGTTGACGTCGTGATGCACTGGGCTCGCTTGGTACTATGAGCCGCATGGTGTCACTACAGAGTAATGAAGTTGATGACGTTTCGTGTCCCGCGCGCGACCTTCGCCTCGCGTTTCTGCCACGACTGGAGCTGGCGCTCTCACAAAGAGCAAGCGTGGAAGGTGGCTCTGATTCCTGGCCGGCCCGTTTATTTTGATGACGGACGGGCGGTGCCGGAGGCCAAAGCCAGTGTCGAGCGCATGTTTATTTCAAGTGGTGATGTTGACGATGATGAGGTACAGTGTGAATGACGCGGTCAGTACACAGACCCTAAGAATCACGAGAGCACGAGCTTCAGACATTTTAACGCAGCATGGCGATTTACACAGTCATGGTGGGGGTCAGATTCATCTGCGTTAAATGCGGGCTACGCTAGTGTGGGAAATAGCGTGATGTGTTGTGTTGATGTGGTGAATGCAGGTGGGGCCCAGCTGTCTGGCGACAAACCCCATTTGAATAGAAAGTTAAGAGCAGGCATGGCGCGAAGGGTTTAGGGAGAAGGAAAGACAGAGGCGGGAGTGAAGGTCGTAATATCACTGAAACAAATAAACGCTACAAAGAACACGCCTTTTTCTACCACGCCTACCTTTTGTGTACTTTTCACTTATATTTACATCAGACGCGTACAATTTGATCAGTAATACCAGTTTTCTCGAGATTTTTCTGAATAGCCCAGAATTTCCATCTGAAGTAGCCGAGCCTGCGGGATGAATCTCATTGGACACTCCGTTCACCACTGCGAAAGAAATGCATTTGATTCCTCTAATTTCTGCAGCGTGTGTACTCTGTAATGTTTGCAACACACTGTGTCAAAATAGCTGTGCATGAAATGCTACGAAAGCTTGAAACATCGTACAGATAAAAATATACTCGATTTGAGGCTATTCTTTCGCGGAATCAGCGAATCGTTGTACTGCGGCTTTGATTTCTCCATTTTGGTGCTAATCGCGGTGGCTCTTTCTGGGACGCATCCTGGCTTTGGGAATGGCAGCATCAAATGGCCCAACAGACGCACCCGTTCAAACTTCAACCAGTGCGCTTCTCAGGAGCAGGCCCTCGCCCCCTAGGCCAATCACAAACATTCTTTTGTTCGCACGGGTAGAGGTACGCTCAGTGATTGTCATGTCAGCGGTGGTCGCCATTCTAGGGAAGAGACGAAATTAGCGCTGGCAAAGCGCTGGCAGTGTAACTTGGACTCTGTAATATCTAAAATTCATATCCATGTGTTTTGACGGTGCTGCCGCTGCATTGCCCAACGCTAATATTAGGTGTAACTAGCGCCGAGGTTTCATTAGAGTATGTCTTTGAAATATGTCTAAGACTTAGGATACTCCCTCGCAGACCTTTCGTTCTACTTTCCTTCGAGATTGTTTAAAAAATACCATGTTTTAAGCATTGCTCTACAACTGCTTACCAGTCGGCAAAAGCAGGAAATGCACGTCTATAAAATGTGATTTTGCCTTTTTCAGTCCCAAAGAAACCGAATCACTGATGGAGCAGAGCGACCACGACTATCAGTTAATGTCCCCCTATATTTCACCGAACGTCCTGAATAAAAGCGAGTCTAACAAAGTGGCGCATATAATAAATTCTACCCTAATTAGTACACCTGGGAAAGGTCCCAAAACATCAGAGAACTTGGACACCATCAGCAGATTCTTCTCAGTTCTAAATGACTTTAGTAAACGGGATTCTCTCTGGTTGCCAGACAGCCCTGACACCTCTGCGCCCTGCACTTTGCAGGGCGCAGGGGTGTCTACTTGCGCCGCGCTCGCCTGCGCTGGCCGGCCGTGGGCGGCGGCGGCGGCTCGGCCGCGCTGCGCAGCTCACGCTCCAGCAGCAGGAACGAGCCGGCCGCGGCGGGGCCTCGCCGGCCGCGCCACACGCGGCCCGGGCTGGCTAGCAGGCCGGCCAAGCGGCGCAGTTCAGCTGTCTCACGGTGCCGTTGCACGTCCTGGTTCTGGCGCGTGGAGGCGGCCGGCGTCCAAACCGCTGGCGGCGGCGGCGGCGCCGGCTCGGGCCGCTGCCCGCCGCGCCGAGTCGCCAGTCGAGCGACCGGCAGCCGCGCCACGCCCGCCTCTTCCTCCTCCTCTGAGGCCGTGTACTCGGTCGAGTCCAGCGAGGCGGTGCGCGTAGGCGGCGCGCCGCCGCTCGCGGCGCCACCGTCGCCGGCCCGCCCACTGTCGTCCGGCCGCAGCGCGGCCGGCACCAGGCCCGGCTCGGGCTCGCCACCGGCCGGTGTCAGCTGCAGCGCCGTGTGCGCCCGCAGCGGCGTCGCCGGCCCGTCCTCAGTTGCCGGGCCCGGCTCCACGGCCAGCGAACGGTGCGCCTGCAGATCCCGGTACACGGCCTGCGCCGCCGCCGCCTCCTGGCCGGGCGCCGGCTCCACCAGGTGGTCGCGGAGCAGGCAGCCGGAGCGCGTTTGCAGCGGGTCGAACTGCAGCGCCGTCTGGCCGCAGCAGGGGTGGTGGCCGAGCGGGGTGGCGGCCGTCTTACCGAGCGCGCCGTACCGCGCCGGCTCCGGGTGGAAGAGGCAGCCGCCCAGCTGGCTGGCAGCGAACGGCCGCTCGCAGCGCGCACACCACAGGAAGTGCACAGCGGCCCACAGACGCCAGTAGACGAGCCGCCAGGAGCGCAGCTCGCGCCGCAGCCGTGCTACGTGCGCGCCCAGCTCCCAGCCTCGGTCGCGCCGGTGCAGGTACGCAAGCCGGCCGTCGGGGGTCACCGACAGGTTGCGCGCGACGCACTCAACTTGCGCGGCGACGGCCGGCAGCAGCAGGCGGCCGCAGTCGACGCAGCAGAACAGCAACGACGCCGTCCAGTGCCGGCCGAGCTCGGGCTGCGGCCGCGACTCGCAGAGCAGCGCCGTCAGCTGACAGTAGAGCCGACCGCGCAGACGGTCGTGCGCCGCCAGCGCCTCCACCCGGTCGTGGTGGAAGAGCGTCGCCAGCCGCGCCATCAGCCGCTCGTTGAGGCATGTGACGCCCGGGCGGTCGGTGACGCGCGCCGGGTCGGCGCGCACAAACTCGAAACACTCGTCCACCAGCCGGTCCATGCGCAGAAAGTCAGCCGAGCTCAGCACGGAGAGGACGGAGTCGGCCGTGAGCGTCGGCGCCACAGCCGAGCGGACCGACTGCGACTGCACCCAGCATATTAGCCAGTCGAAGATGGTCAGCTCGCAGTGGATCGTGATGTCAACGTTCTCCAGCTTCTGGCCCTTGACGACGTCTCTAAAGTACGGCATATGCTCCAGCAGCACCGCTTTCGGACAGGCGAACTCCTGGGAGCGCTTCAGCGCCTCGTCCATCACCTGGATGGTGATGTTGACGTCTGGCTCGGAGAGGTGCAGCTCCTTCTTGGACGCGGTGTCTCGCTTCTTGGAGCGACCAGATGAGCCCTTTTCCCTAGGCTTGACACTCGGAGGTTCCGAGTCTGCCATGACGCTGATTAGGTGCGGCATCACGCAGTCCAACAACCCCTCCTCGGCCAGCTGTCGGACCTCACCCACGTCAGTGTCCTCGACGCCGTCCGGCAGGACCGGCGTAGGCTCGTTTTCCAGACTCAGCCATCGCTTCAGACGATAGGCGGTCAGCAGCAGCTGCAGGGCAGAGCCAGGGGCCTGCTCCATTCTCCAACTACACCGGCTGAAACCCCGTAGCGAATTATTCCGACGAAGCACGGTTGATAACCACGAGATGGATCTACCACTAAAGAGGACAAGCGAAACGAATAGTCACAATCGCCAGGACGGTCAGGAATCGACAGAAACGTCACCGGATCGACCACAGAGGTTACGCAATCACGGCGGCTGCGACAATCTCCTAAACAAGCTCAAACAGAACGGCGACAGTTCGGCCCGTCGATTGCATTCACGAACGGTCCTGTGAGATTGGCCTTGGTAAACCAAGCTCCCAATCTCTGCATGGTTATCAGTCAGAGATTGGCTGGCCGTTCATTGCTGTTGAACGACGCCGGGCCCAGTGGCTGTCACGGAGTTTCTGAGAACGAGGTCGTCGACACCTGACGACAGAGCATGGGGGCATAACGGCATCATGGTTGTACACCTCGATACTCACTTGTTTTATTGGTTCTCAACCCTATGTTCCAGCTTACCAGAGCTTTTCACCCGCGCCCCCACCTGGTTGCTTCACCGCCGCTCACTTACAGCGGGCCGGGTGGCGTAGATACAAAATTTCTGGTTGCTAGGCAACTAGTAAGCGGGAAAATCTTGCAGAGATTTTTGGTTTCTTGCTTCCTACTTGTATTTTTATATTTAGTTACGTTCATCCGTTCTTGCAATGCTTCCTGTGCTCAGAAAATTGATTTTAAATAAGATTCGTAGATGTTATTCCTCGATTAAGAAGTACCCTACACGATCCTTACGAATTTGAGTGAGAAATATTCTTCCCTTTCTGTAAATAGCACACCCGTAAAGTTTTAACTTCGCAGCAGGTAAGACAAGCACGGCGCATGTGGACGGGAAAAGACGCATGTGAATTGAAACGCTGCGCCTGACGCTTATCGGCTTTGCACGTGGTGCGCTTTGGAGAGTCGTGGACGGTGGTAGGGTTACGAGAGGTGTACATCGAGATGTTTTGTTGAAGTCGGTCTCATCATTGGTGGCACTTGGTAAACAATGGGGCGAGGAATGGCTGTTAACTAAAGTATCGAAAACGGATATAATGCAATTTAGCTAAAGCTCGTTTGTCAAAGGATTAGGTCCCCCAAAAAGTCCTGATGAATTCTTGTTCAGAATCAGCAGCCCTAAGGCCATCTGTAACCACAAAAATTTGGAGCTATTGAAGTGGTTCAGCCTGCTTTGCTATTGTTTCACATTCATTGGCCAGTAGTCTCTGATGTGTGGCATACTGAGCAGGATCCAAAATTGATTCAGCATTTTCAAAATATATCTGGTGTGTTGAACCTCACTCTGATGCAGGAAATTTAGGCCAGGTGTAAAGGTCACATTTTTGTGTAACAAAATGGCTTGGAGTATGCTGCCTGGAAGTGCCTTTGAAATACATAAGTAATTGAAACCTTGACTTTACGTTTGCTTAGATTAGGAACACTGTGATATCCATTGTGCACGTTGCCTCGATATTGCTGCCAGCACTGAAATGTCAGCATAATTTTTTGCAACATGGTCAAGGGCCTATACAAGCTTCCCAGAGGGGCCACACAGCTTACCCAGTTTCACTGACAACCCAGTTTAGGGTCCCGCAGTAAAGTCCTTTGCATGGCTTGAAATACCTTTTGTTCTCCATCTGTTAAGTTTTTCTTTTCCAGTTCATATTTGTAGTGTTCAACATTTATTCTCACATATTAATGTACATAAAGTATTGTATAAGGGATGGTCACTTGTCCCTCTTCCCCCCCCCCCCCCCTCCAAGGAGCTATCATGTTAGTATGGCCCAGAGCACAGCTGGATTATGGCAGGTTGGGCTTTCCATGCAATTGACATGGGGCTACAATATTCAGGAAGCAGTGAACCTCTAAGAAATGTTGAAATATACATGCTAGCACTTCAAGCAGATATGCAAAACTACTCCCCAAGACAAGTTTGGGGCCTTGTCTCAGGCTGATTGAACTAGGTTGCCTCCAAAATGATACAGTATTGTCAGATCTGATTTCATTTATTTTGCTATTTGGAGGAAGTTGGAGTGTTATTTAATCATTATTTGTTTTCAGTCACATTGCTTGAGCTTCCAATAACTATGTGCTAATTTTAGGGGGTTCTCAGTTTGGTTAGAAGTCAGAATAGGAGAGCACTCTGATTGTGAGGACTCAGGTTCGGAGACTCGGGCCATGCCAGGTTGGAAAGACTTCTATTAGTGAGGGCTCTTGTCAGGTTGGGAGGTTTCCTACCAGCTGAGGACTTAGTCTGGTGGGAAGAGATGGGCTACTATTGGCAGGCTCAGGTTTTTTTCTTTTTTGGGCACAACCACCTCCAAACAAATATGGGCATGCATCCCTGACTGAAGAATTGTTGTATTCACATGCTGTTTAGAAGGTCCAGTGCATTGCAGTTTTTAAATTGCACACTGAAAGGGCACTGATAATAAGATATCAGAATGTGCATAAGATGTGCTCACCCTTTGGATGAGAATCATGCAAAGCACAACAGTTGTAGAGCATCTGGAGCCAGACTAGAGGTTGTTAACAGTATTCATTTTATGTCAGTGTTGAGCTGCATGAAATATGTTCAGATTTGCATATATTGGCTTCTTTTGCTGTTTGAGGCATCACTCTAGCCCTTGTATTTCTGTATTGTCTTGTTAACTGTGTATTTAATGAATACATGTCAAAAGAAATCAGGTTACAATAGTGTGCTTCTTGGCTTTTCTGCATAATTAGCAGATGACTGGTTGCTAAGAGCTGGCAAATACTCACCCCCCCCCCCCCAAGCATGTGTCTACATGGCTTTCATCTCGCGTCGCTGCTGGCCCTGGTTGCCGAGATCATGACCGGATTTAGGCGCGTGCCCTAGTGTTTTCGGGGACCTTTACAATTGTGTTTTACCCATGGTAATCAAACATCTAGGTGAAACATCAGTGGTATTGTACCATTGCAGGATGCCCAGGCCTGATTAAACAACTTGCACACAAACATTTTGAAATTGTTATAGCATGACTGTACAGAGTGTTCCTACCTGTCACGTAAAATTGCATTGCTGCACAATCAGGGGTTACAAGGACAAACGCCCACTGAAAGGGTGGCTGTCCTGGCCGAGCCGGGCAGGGCTGCCGAGGCCACGTCATTTTCGGCCTGCAAACGTGGCAAGCTCGACTCGAGACTCCGTTCTCAATCGTTCGTCTCCTTTCCTACCCTTATGAGCTCTAATGGGCGTGATGCGTCTGTTCCAGCACCAGCCATGACGCGTTTTGCACGCTACTCCACCAAGGGCATCCAGAAGCCGCCCTGTGAAGCCACGCCATGGTCAGAGCTGGCTCCTCCAACGGCCGCCACCGAACCGTTGGCCCGTGCCAACGACCCGGGCAATAAAGCAAGCATGAAGAAGAATAAGGGTAAGCAAAATCAAAAGGCAAAGCACCATGTGGCAAATAAGCCGTCTGCATTGAAACCCGGCAAAAAATTCGGTGGGCCAAAACATGAAAATAAAAAGTCTGGTAAACAGACTGGCATGCCCGAATCTGAATTGGATGACAGCGGTGTTTGCGCACCAACTGTTCTTACGACTGGCCTCGCCGGTACTGCGCAGCCGATGAAGGACGTGGACACCAGTGAAGCAAGTAGTGGTGCCATGAGTCTTAAAAACAAAGTCGCAGGAACTGCTGAAAAGTCAAAGAAATCGAAGAAATCAAAAAAGGTTGTTCAGAAAGTGAGCGCGGAGGCAAACGGAGATTTAGGTGAAACTGCTTCCGGACAATTGGAAAAACACGTTTCCGCCAAGGTCACTAAGAAAGGCCTGAAAAGAAAGGATGGGGCAGCCATTTCAAATAATGTCAAACGGCAATGCAAGAGCAAGCGCGATGAAGACTGCGGAAGCCCTGAGATCATTGGTGCACCTCACATCTCTCAGCGACCCGGCGTAGACTCGGAGGACCCCGCAGAGGGTGTCACGAACAGTGACCCTGCAACAGCGAAACCGAACGGCTTCGGGAGACAAGTCCAGAAGAAGAAGAAGCGCAAGAAGCCGCGGACCAAGACGCCTGTCGGCGCGGCACCGTCTGGGCCGCCGATCCTGGCCGAGAACCGGCTGATGACCCAGTTCGACGGCTATTGGGTGCGGCGGCGCGCCGTGCCGCGGCTCGAGCGCGTGCGAGCGGAGCTGGCCGCCGCCATCACCGACCCGCAGAAGCTCAAACGCGAGATGAAGAAACGCAAGCGCGCCGAGCACCGCAAGCTGCTGTCGTTGCTGGCGGCGCGCGGCGGCGGCGCGCCGACGACGGCCTCCGCCCGGCTGGAGGACGCTGACGACGGCGAGGAGGCCGACTCTGCCGATGACGACGCCCCCCAGTCCTCGGAGGGGTGCGTGAAGGAGCGGCGATCGGCCGGCGAGCAGGCAGCGACGGCCCCGCCGTCGGCACCCGACGACCGGCAGGCTCCTCGGCGCGACGGCGGCGGGCCGCAGCGCGAGGAGCGCATGGTGAAGTTTGACGGCGTCTGGATGACGGGTGACGCCGTCGGCCGGCTGAAGGAGCTGCGCCGCCAGCTGAAGCTGCAGCGCGTCTCCGACGTCGTGCTGAAGCAGACGATGAAGACTGCTCGCCGTCGCGAGGAGATGAAGCGCAAGCGAGACGCCAAGAAGGTGAGTCAGCGTGGGTGGTGTCGGGGTTCGGTGATACCCGTAGCGTTTCCACTGGTGCCTATTGTTATCGGATTTCTATTTGCCGTGCCGCGCCATCTATGATTCGTTTGGTGAGCTGTAGTTCGACTTTCGCTCACTGAATCCCCTGTCTGCCCTGGACCAAGCAGAGTCGACCACTGTTTCTACGAGCTGGCATCGGCTCTGCGACTTTCCTTGGTCGACAGTGTTGCTTTTGTCCACCACTACTGAGGTGTGGTACTTGCTGGCCGATCGCCGTGCTGTAATCAGTCATTATGACACGTGAAGATGTGTACTGCCTGCGGATGACTGCCACCATCAGATGATGTCAGTGGTGTATGGCTGACGGCTGTGGCTGTCCCGATCCCCGCTGGTGTGCTCGTCGCGCTGCGCCTGCCGACAGTGATGCTCGCTCTCTGTGCTGACCCGCCGTGTGCCGTCGGCGGCAGGTGTGCCTGGGCTGCCGGCAGCCGGGTCACCAGGTCAGCGAGTGCCCGCAGCGGACCGGCGGCGGCCAGACGCCCGTCACCGGCCTCTGCTTCCGCTGCGGCTCCACCGAGCACCGGCTGAGCGAGTGTCGCGCCAAGCAGGGCGACGGCGGCCTGCCGTTCGCCGTCTGCTTCGTGTGCGGCCAGACGGGCCACCTGTCGCGCGAGTGCTCCCTCAATCCCAACGGCGTGTACCCGCGCGGCGGCGCGTGCAAGGTGTGTCACCAGCGTTCGCACCTGGCCGACGACTGCCCGGAGCGGCGGGAAGAGGAGGCGGCCGCCGGCGCGCCGCGCCTCGCCACGCTGGCGAGCGGCGCCGCCCTCGAGGACGACTACGAGCACGACTTCCGCACGGTACCGGCGACCGAGGCCGGCCGGCCGGCGGCGTTCGTCGCCAGGAAGCCGCGCCAAGTCAAGTTTTAGTGGCTGTCGGAGCTGGAGCGATGTGGACAGGGTCAGAACTGGGGACGTGGGCGGTAACGGGCGTGGCGTTGGATGCCGCCTGCTGTTGGAAATAAGATTAGTAGCGAGGATGCCGCTTTTGGGTCGATGTCATTTTGTTGTCGGCCGTGAGAGTGCCGTGGAGCCGTGAATGATACTTGAAGCATCCGACATGAGATAACATCATCGGTCGCTGGATTTGAACTAGCCGTTGTTATCCGGGAGGTGTTGGAGGGATGAAAGACTGCTCGCAATAAGAACACGTTACGACGCCAGGAAGGTCATACTTCCTTGACTATGACGGATTCCGCTTAAAATACGCTTTCCTCCTCAGACCCATCTTTCTCCAAAAACCGGCAATGTCAGTTTAAATTAGTTACCAACGAAGTTTGGCGCATGCAAAGTGCCAAGCATCGGGTTTTAGTAAGTTTAGATATTTTCGTACGTAAAAACGTGGGTAAGTTTAAAACCTTGTTCAGGCTGCATACAAAACATGTAAAAACTATATTAGCGAGGTCTGTGGAAATATACCGACATTTTTTACCTATGAAGGATTCTCATCGGCTGCTGAGGTGAGAACAACGACAGCGCCTGCTGGCGTTGGCCAGATAAAACGTTAGTGGGGCTATGTACGAACATGTGCATGGTAACGGTTAGCTCTAACCATTTGGGTGAATTTCTGGGGTCAGTATCCACGCCAACTGTTGTTCGTTGCGTGGGCCTGACCGCGCTATCCGACCATGAGATTTCGGGTCAATGGCAGTCTTTCGGCAAAAGTTTGATGTGTCGCAGTGGCCGGCACGGTCCGATCCGCCCTCTGACGCTATCTGACCTTCAGTGCGCCTGCTGCCACCGACCGCAGGCCACGTCGTCAGCAGCGAATAGCGAGCGCCCAGAACTACTCAGGTCGGCCATTGTCCCCCAACTGCGCGGCACAAACTAATTCGAGGTTTTCGTGAAGTGCATGTCATGTGCTTTAGCGCAACCGCAAAACATTTTGTCATAGGCATTAAGACGTTTAAACCTGTGTTCCATTGACGATGATTGACCACGCACTACTGTTTAGATAAGTTCAACATGGGCAATAGAGTTATGTACACGCAAGTACAGGACAGCAGAGCTCCCTACGCACGCGGACAGGGGCAAAAGAGCTGTATACGCGAGGACAAGGGCAGTGGAGTTACGCACAAACAAGGACAACGGAGCGCCATGCACACAAGGACGAGAACCGCGGAGCACCCCAAATCGCGACCGCATCCAACCAGCAAATCTCCCTCTCAAGGTGTCACCACTGAGCGGAATCGGCAGGATTCCATGATCGATATCGATCGATCGAGTTTAGATGCGTAGACCATCTCCCCACAACGCCAACCTCTCCATGTTGACGTGGTGTCGCTGCCTCCCTCGGTGACCAGCGGCAGTATCTAAGTCTAGTGTCTGGGTAGTTAGAATTGCGGGAATTACAGACGCACAGAGAAATGAAATAGATCGTTGCTTTCTGTCCGATTTTGATTGGATCCGGTACAAACTTGTCGGGGCGTCTCGCGGTCAGCCTCTCCAACCCAATTACATCGAGCAAAAACGTCAGGCACCGTGCCCAGACACTAACGTCACAAGTGGCTTGACGCCGCCAGCACGTCGTGCTGTCCGCACGGCTTCCACCGTCGGCCTATCAGACTAGATCTCTGTCGTACTGGCCGCACGGCTTCCACCGTCGGCCTATCAGACTGGATCTCTGTCGTACTGGCCGCACGGCTTCCACCGTCGGCCTACCAGACTGGATCTCCGTCGTCGTGCCGTCCGCGTGGCTGCCGTTGCCGACCTATCTGACTGGACCTCTGTCGTCGCGCTGTCCGCGTGGCTTCCGCCACCGACTTATCTGACTGGATCTCTGTCGTCGTGCTGGCCGCGTGGCTTCCGCCGCCGGCCTATCTGACTGGATCTCTGTCGTCGTGCTGTCCGCGTGGCTTCCGCCGCTGGCCTATCTGACTGGATCTCTGTTGTGCTGTCTACGTTGCTTCCGCCGCTGGCCTATCTGACTGGATCTCTGTCGTCGTGCTGTCCGCACGGCTTCCACCGTCGGCCTATCAGACTGGATCTCTGTCGTCATACTGTCCGCGTGTCTTCCGCCGCCGGCCTATCTGACTGGATCTCTGCCGTCGTGCTGTTCGCGTCGCTTCCGCCACCGACTTTTCTGACTGGATCTCTGTCGTCGTGCTGTCCGCACGGCTTCCACCGTCGGCCTATCAGGCTGGATCTCTGCCGTCATACTGTCCGCGTGGCTCCCTCCGCTGGCCTATCTGAGTGGATCTCTGGCGTCGTGCTGGCCGCGTGGCTGCCGTTGCCAGCCTATCTGACTGGATCTGTGCCGTCGTTCCATCAGACCAGACTTGCTGCCCCGTCTAGCCTGACCCCGGTTCGGGCAGGTAATCGGCTACATTGGATCAATGGAGAGTGATAGGACAGCGGAGCGCTTGCTCATGACGCTCGGCTGGTCCCTGGTGACCGGTTGCCGGCCTGCCAGTCTGCGCTAAATCATACTATCCCAGCACATCCCTGGCCCGTATGCAACCACACTGGCTCAGCTGGTTGCCGGACAAGAGGCCAAATGGAAAAATCCCGGTGGAAAGGTCCCATGCGACACATTCTGTAAACACAGATGCCAAATGAGGAATGTTGAAGGGCTTATAATACAGGATCGTTCGTCAAATGTCAAATAGGCAAACAGCTAGTTCGCTAATAGACAAAAGGGAAAATGACCAGATTGAGCTAAAATTAAAAAGGGGCGAGTGAAGCATTTTGTATACCCTTGTATATCTTTCTATATTTTGGTTCTGTCTGCATCTCTGCTTGGCTGCGACGACATGTGCACCACGGGAGTCATCGTCGTGAGCTTCGTTCCTTTGGCGACTGGCAGGGGAGAAGCGGTAGACACTTCTCGGGCTGCCTCGTGACATCCCAATACCTATCACGTTGGAGTCCTACGACGCAGCTCAAGGGGCACAATGGAGCCATGATTCCCCTTCATCGATTCACTGCTAGCGGGCCTGCAGCGTTGCTCACGAATTATCATCAGGCTGAGGTCAGAAAGCTTGCGACCACGGTGACCGTCTTATCAGCGTCCGTAACCAAGGCAACGCCGGTGTCATCCTCAGAGGCTGTTAGCCTTCTGAGTTAAGTTGGAAGTGTCTGTAACTACAATACTGGCTGTCAAATTAAACCGAAATATTTACCCAGTTAGTCGAGGTGCCATCCTTAAACTTTCTGTATGACATCCTGCAGTGTCGACGACTGCGAACTTTTTCACAGAGGTTTGATCTATGTTGCTTGGGGATCTAAAGTAGCTTGGTTGCCATTTGTGCAACTTTAAGCAATTCTCAGAATTCCAGATGGCGACTGCCGCCGTCTTGAGCAAAAGTCAAGCTCCAAAGCTTTTTCTTGACGACTTGGAGGTTTGTGTGGAAATGTTAGTGACCGGTTTTGTATGGCAGTAAGTACGGCTCTACCGCTATTTTCATATATGGACTCAAATTCAAAACAATATTGCCAGGCAAAGGTCAAATATTTTCACGAATAAGGAAAATAACACCAATTGAGCCACATATGCCGCTCGTTGTCTTCTTGTACTCATTGCAATGGTGCCACTCACAGAAGGTGCATGCGTTATTTGCCATGATAATATAAAGATGCGATACATACACGACGCATGCGCTATAATTGACGCTTTTCACTTCGTTGGGCGCGCATAGTCGAGTTGGCATCCTTTTACTCACCATGTGAGATCTTGCAACGTCAAACAGCGCGATTTTTTACGGAAACCTCCTACAGAACTAAATGTAGCTAGGAGAGCCAAATTAGTTTGGATGCTACTCACGCGACTTTGTGCATCTTTAAGAATTTTAAAAAAGCGAGTGCCTCTGTTTTAAATGCTGGTCAGGTTTTAAAGTTTATTTCCGCGACTTGGTCAAGTGATATCGTTTCTTGGGTTTTCCGAAGATGGGAGCCCATTTTTGCATTTATTTTTGATGCATGGGGTCGAAGTCAAGGTCAAATCGACGGCCAAACGTCAAGCTTGGCAGAAACAATTAAATAATATGAAACAATGAGGGAAGAAGCAGTGAAACAAGAAAGCTTTTGCACTCATATCGCGATTGTCCAAAAGATGCTGAAGCCCTATAAAGTGACCTTGATTTTAAGCGAGACTGTCCGCTGTCTGGGAAACAATGCGAGCCTACGTAGGAAAGGCAGCTAGACCCACGTAGTTGGGCACAACCCAACAGCGTAAATCCACGAATAAGCATACTGAAATAAGGTTCAAATGACAGTTGGAAAACCTCTGGGGCTTCAGTACGCTTAGAGCTTTCGCTTGGTGGGGTGATCGATATGCATGCTGCTCACGCCCAATACCATATCCCATGTCACAATCCTGTCTGTGCTGTTCCCGTTCACCATCCCCTCCACGAAAAAAACCTCGCCACATCCTCCAGATTGAGCGCGTTTGAGCTGACCCTGGGTAGTCGCTCAGCTCCTGTATGACTTGTTGCCATTAAGTAAAAGATTGCAGCAGGATGGAGATGATGGGGTGGTATGCCCTTAAGGCCTTGGCTCAGACCCTCTCGTTTGCCTTGCTGATGATACCGCCGCCAAAGGCTGCGCTTACAGCAACGCCCAGGACAGATTCACTCATCAGTGTCCCTTCGCAGCCAGGACACGGTGTACATTGTACATGTGCATTACATGCCCATGTAAGGCATACCTGTACATTGCGAGTGTGCATAATGTCCGTATGAGTGAAGTGTGGGGTTGGTCCGGCGCTAAGGGTAGTCGGACTAGACTAGGCATGGAGTTTGATACCAATGCGGATCGGCTGTGAGGTGGGTGTGATACATCCCGAAAGCATTGAGAGTCTTTTCGAGACACAAGCGCAGACAACATGGTGTCCGGGTGTCGGGCGGCGAGTCGACCATCGGCCTGAATACGACCAGCGTCTCAGGCCTTAGGGCAGCGCCTACCACCTTCCACCCCAGTCTTTCTGAGCATCAAGGCCCGTCCACTCGACCGGCTTGCCAGTCTTGTGGACTTCGAACAGTCAGGCCGCGTTTTGCTGCTGCCTGGATCTGACGGAAGTGGACTGAAGCCGTGACTCTTCGGCGGACACAGCCTCTGTTGGCAGCTGAGACGCGTTCAGATTAGAAGGCCCTTGTAGCGCTGCAGCTCCACAGCCTAGAGGGGGAGTCGCGGAGCGGGCACCTCACGATCGCCGTGCCGCTGCAGAGGTTGTACTCGAAAGGCGCTTAGACATACCATAAGCTGAGAAACTACTTGGAGACAGCCGAGGGGTACCTGACCAGAAGCGTGTGAGTGAAATGCCTCTTCAACCCTACACTGCTGGCGTTAATGCTCCCACGTGGAGGGCTGAACTACGACTTTTTCATTCAGCAGCACTGCCTCAAAGCGATGCTGCCGTATTTCTTTGTGGCAGGTCACCATAATTATGCTGGCTAACTGAGCTGACATGTGAGACAGATGAAGCAACCCCCCCCCCCCCCCCTTGCGTGCCATGGAGAGGAGTTTCTGGAGAACGCGCACGCCTGGCGACACTCGGACAGCGAGACCGCGGTGCCAGCAGGTCAGCTGTTGGATGACCTAAGCCCGCTGCCGTGTTTCGTCGTCTGGCGAGTTCCTGGGACTACAGGATACCTGACTAAAAGTTTGTACAC